CCCAGCCAAAAATGTGTCTTCAGAAGATTAACAACATAGGCATAATCTACTCACAGAAGACCACTGCAGTATGCAGACATGGTAGTGTAAACTATGCCTAAGTATTAGGAGAGGGTAGCATTTAACTCTTTCGCTGACAAAGCCTTTTTGGGTTGTTTTTTTTTTCACACATGTTTAAAAAATAATTTTAGGCCTGAAGATTGCATGAACCCCCAAAACATTGTATATTTTCTGAAAGCAGACACCCTGGAGAATAAAATAGTGTTAGTTCCAATTTGTCCCACAACAAAGGTCTAGGAAATGAAAAGTTTCAGTAAAAAATACACACAGTTAATTTTAGGGTACACAAATGCAATAAATGACCTAATTTTTTGGTAAAATATAAAAGATGTGGTTGTACTGAATAAATACTGTAAATACCCAACATGTCAAACCTTAGCTCCCTATAGGTTATCAGTTTAGCATTATGGAGGAGGTCTGGTGCTAAACATATTGGTCTCACTCTGGCGTGTGTGGCTATATGTAACATGTGTATCACAGTCAACGTTTTAATGCGTAGGCTCCCCCATGCGTTTACATATGTAGGTATATATATGTGGGCCTCAAACATTTTTTGGGAGGAGGATTTTATTTGCTTGGGTGTAACCTTACTTTTTAAGATTAAAGAAAATAGTTTTTTCTTAACTTTTTTTTTCAGCATATACAGGACAAATAGTCCTCTATGTGATGGTTTTATGGTGACAGGTTTTCTTTAATGAGGCATACGGGGTCTAAAAGACCCTGAATGTCTCCCCTGTGCTCCACTGAATTTATTTCAGTGCAGATGGCACTGCATTACATTCTTTCCCGGGCATTCTGGCCGAGTAAACTGACAGGCAGATCCGGAAGTGAAGTTGCCAGGTCAGCAATATGAAGGGAAAGAGAGTGGATGCACATCCGCTCATCTCCTTTCCCTCTACCTAGCAGCACACATCATGCTGGTCCCAGGCCCACAGATGGGCAAGCGGAGCCCAGGATCTGTAACGGGGGCATGTGTGCAGGGAGGGCACCCGTTACCATAGGTCTGTGGTAGAAATTGGGCAGCTGTGCAGCCACCAGAAAGCTTCCATCTGACAGCCAGAAGTCAACTTATCAGATATACACACACTCCTGATGGCTGCAGCGGCAGTGGCTATGTGTAAGCCCCCTGCTGTCAGGTTCTTATGAAGTACAAACCTGGCAGGGAATGGGTTAAAGAGGAACAGAACTCAGGAAGTTGTGCCCAAAAAGGGCAAATAACTAAACTCCAATATTGTCTGTGGTCCTTACCATGTTTTGCCTATTGATTTACTAGGTGGTATTCTGCATTGTGTCTGTCTGTTTGTGGAAACAGCAATCTTGATAGAAATAGTTTTTTGCTTTCTTATGTCAGAGCCTCCAGCAAGGAGAACAGTAAGTAGCACAGAACATCATCAAATTTCACTGAGTCTCCCGAGACGAGCAGTCAGGGGCAGCAGTGCCTTAGGTGATCTCACTCTGTAGATATACTGTACAGGTATGAGACTGTAGGCACAGGAGTACCATTGACACAGCCTAGTATAAATACATTAATTTATACTAGGCTGTGTCAATGAAAGATCTAGGTGGATTGCAAGCTTTTTTCTTTTTTTTTAACAGGCAAAGCAAACTCAAAAGAAGAAAAACATGTTCCCTTTTAATGTTCCTGTTTATGAATATGTAGCCTGACAATGCAATAAGAGTACTGCTTATGCAGTAACAACATTTGTAGTTTTCCTATAACATAGCAGATCTTCACTTTTGAGTTCAGTAATTCTTCTTCTGCTTAACTGTCTGTTATTTTCAAAATAATATTTATTGCAGGACAGGCAGCTCAAGGCAAGGGGTGGGGGGGTGGCTATATCATAGCACTGTTATGTAGTATTCCCTTTACTGTCCCCTCTTGGAAGCAGAAGGATCATTTGAAGGGCACATACTTTGCTTTTGTATACATATTCTTTGTTATATTCAGGACTACAAATTACATTTAAAGCTATTCATATATATTAATAGGTATTCTTCATTTTATTCTATAAAATATAAAATATTTTATATGAATATTTATTATTTCTAGCCAGCAGAAAATACTAGAATCTATTCATATGGTGACAAGGAAAATAATAATTGTTTTTAAAAATAGAGGTTACCCCTCTTATTCCCCTCTCTTTGTGCACTGTCTCTTTTGACATTGGTATCCAGTATTTGAAGAGTCTACTTTCCTTCCCACCACAGCACTATCAAAGCTAGCTTTCAGTCATATGCCCCTATGCCATCCTTACTATCTTAGTTGCAAAGTTCTGTAAACTTTGTATAAAATAAACGTATACATATGATAATGTATTAATTTCCCAAAGCATTCTCATTTGATACTTACACAGCATAGATACATAGCAAGAAAGTGAAAAATAAGCATCTGCCGCTGCCAGCCATCATATTTTCTGGCCTTCTGCTGCTGCCCTCTCTTTCCATGTAGGGCTGTACATGGAGCCGACTCTGCTGAGAGCTAAGAGCGCCCCTCTACCCACACTTGGGTACATGTCATCTTGGGATGGGTGTGTGGTAGGAGATCATGTTCTCAATTAGAGGAGCTGCAATGGGAGCCTGAAGTGTCATCTCGTCGACGGTATACAGCGGAGTTCAGCAACAGCGCTATACACAGGGAATGGATGATGTGCTTATGGAAAGTGGACTTTTTTGAGTGTAACTTTTAATTGTTTTTACCACATAAGAAAGGATTGCTAGGACTCTGTGCGCTCCCTCTTTCCTTTTGTCTATGCTGGCTGTCACCTTGACCAAATCGGGTCACATACCCTGGTGCTTTTTTCCCTATTAGGTTGCAGCCTGGGATGAGTCATGAGTTGCCTGTGAGTAAACCGATAGCTGTCATCAGTATGAAGCCTGCATATACAGCTGACCCAGACCATGTTATTACTATTGAGGGGAGAGGGGGCAGAGACTCCTAGCCTGTAAGGACATAGGAGGTGGGACAGACCAGGAGTCTCTTAGACTGTCATTCTATGGACACTGCCTCTATGCGCAGATCAGACCACTACTCTAACCTTCATTGATCCTCCCACTACAGTGAATAGGGATTGCATCACTGCCTGCTTGCTGTACCAAGAACTACAGCAGGAATGTGACAAGACCGGTGGTCGGTGGAATACAAGAAATAGTGGCCTCCGGTCTTAAAAACAGAAGACAGAAATACCCCTGTAATGTAAAAAATGCGTCTGGTGTATCTCAGAAACTACAGAGCCAACCTAAAAATGGACTACATATTTTAGGATGTTAGGAAAGCAGCATCAAAAGTAAGTTAAAAAGTTTATGCCTGTACTTCTGCTTTAACTAATGAATGCAAGATAATTTTATATTAGCATGCAGCACTGCATGCTGATGTGATGTTTAATGAAAGGGGGAAGGTATGCTTTAAATGTTTTATTTGCAATCACTAAAATGCAGTACAGGAACAAATGAAAAGCTGATACATGCCTGACTAGATCTCTTCAGGCCATATTTTATCACTACCAATGATCATTTTTAATGCTTCCTATGATTCATATTGAATCTTATAAGAATTTGGCTCTCAGTGAAGAATTCTTATTTCAGTAATGAATTGTCTCTGGCCTTCTGATAGCATTCCAGCATTTGTCCAATATTGGGAAGATTGGGGGCCCAGCTGATAAACGTCCATGCACATTAAATTTGAGAGCATAACATAATGCCACCAATAGGTTGCTGAATTTATATTAAACCAGGAGAGCAAAATGAGAAAACTGTCAGTTTACAGGAAGCAAAAATAATGGGGTTCATGATCTTTTGTAATTAACTTTGCTTTCTGGGGAAAAAAATGACAATTCTGAAAAAGCAAAGCACTCCACGATCCTCCCGTCCCCAGAAATTGAGTAAGCCACGCAAAAATTTCCTTGGAAGGCAAGGCTGGAAATAGGAAAGTAATGAACATGTGGAGCTCTGCATTCATTCAAATGTCATAAAGATGAGATGTCAGAACAAGTGTCTGCTTATAAAGCAGCTTGGATTATTACATTTGTGGAGAGAGAGAAGTAGAGTAGTGCAAATTATAAGTATGTCATCTACCAACAAAGTGTCAGTGTGAAATAGATGGGACAGAGGTAGATATAGAAGCCTTTCGCTGTAGATTCCAGCATCTGCCTGTCTTTACACGCTACCACGTCTAGGTGATTTATTTACAGCCAGGCACAAGGATACAATGATGTTTCTTCATATTATAAGAAAACTGCCAACTTTGCTTATGTACTGTTTCTGACCCAGATAATACAACAACCTGAAGTAGATAAGACACATTAAATTATTCCTACCGAGTCAGAAAATCCATCATTTGTTTGGCAGTAATTTATTTTATATTTCTTGTCTGTGGCCTAGAAATACATAAGGCACAGGATCCCAAAAAAATTAAAGTGTAACTTTTCAAAGCTGTGGCATCCATCCACCTTGGCCATTTCAAAAGAAGAGAGGCATGGAAAGGACAAGACTTGCAACTTATGAAGTTCAAGTAGGTCACAGCTCATAGGAAAGGGCATTTCAGCCTTTTCACTATGGGTGTTAAAGGACCTTGGGCTTCATTCACAAAGTGGTATCTACCGCTTTAAGATCCATGGTAAAATACCTCTTAGCATTTTGCATTCTTAGCATTTCAAAATGTTTTCTGCAATTCACTAAAAAACGCTCATAAAATAAGGCATTTTCCTTTTTTTCATTGAAAAGTGTGGTATTTATCTCATTAAACCAATCTGTATTTTTTTGCATGACAACATAGCCACATGGATGGATACAGCAAAGAGGTATTAGAACACCTGTCAGTTTTTATTGCTGTCCATGTTAGAGAGAGTCACTCTGTCTATTTTTACTGTTTCTCCTTATCACTGAAAGTGAAGGAGAAAGAAAATACCACATTTTGAGTTGACATCGGAACACTACCAAAGGGGAAATCTCCTTAATGGGAAACAAATTGCAAAAAAACTGAAGGAGGTTCTAACCCTCCTGTACTCTATCCAAAATGAAAAAATGTGTCATTTAGTTATCCAGTAGCCTCCCTGGCGGTATTCCCGAGTGTAGCTCGGGGTAAAGTCTCAGTACCACAAGCGGTAACCCCGAGCTACACTCCGCGATCCCTCGATCACTTACCTTGTCCTTCGCTCCCACGATGTCCCTCCTGCAGTGTCCCCGGCAATGTCCTCCGGCGGATGCCGGCATCTGTCATCTGGGTTCCATCCCCTGTGAGCGTCGGGACGTATGGGGATGGAACTGCGGGAAATTTGAAAATGACAAGAAATGACATTCACTAAATTCACTAAAATCACATAGTAAAACATTATTGTATCAAACCATTTCACATACATTTTGTCCCTAGTGCTTTGACCTGTGTCCTGCCTACATTTTTACCATTCTTTCTGCCTAGAAGCTGAGAAATGTCCATGGCGTCCAAAAAGTGTCCCTTTAGGTCAAAAGCGGTTTTAGACCATCTAGAGAACAGCGATAGTAAATTAGAACTACTGGCAGAATTGAGTGATAATGATTTGTGGGGAAATTCGTCATCAGACACTGAAAACGATTCTGCAACTTTGCTCAGTGATGTGCGAACTTGGCGCTATATTTCAAATTTCAGTGTTTTTGGTTTGATTATATTATTGAATTAAATGTATTATTATTATATTATTATTTTTTTGATGATTATTTATTAAATTATATATTATGATTTCATGTTTCAAATTGTAACATACCCGGGATGTTTAATAGACTCTTGTTCGGACAGATTTCAGTGAGTTATTCCTAAAAATTACAGGCCTACAATAAAAAAAATACATATTTCCATGCAAAAAATGTACCGCTTTGAGCACAGAAATATGGACATAATCAGACCGCTAGGGAGGTTAAAGTCATTTTTGCTGTGATATTTGGTGAATTCATTGCTATATATTTGGACATGTCTGTTTTGTCTTGCTAGAGAACAGCCACTGGAGGAGATTTACTAAAACTGGAGCTCAAAGAATCTGATGCAGCTGCTCATAGTAACCAGTCAGCTTCTAAATTTAGATTATTCAATGAAACTTTGACATTAAGTTCTAGTAGCTGATTGGGTACTATGCACAGCTGCACCAGATTCTTTGGGTTCCGATATTAGTAAATCTCCTCCATTGTCATTCTCTGATGTTCTTCAAAGTGTCACTTTGGTATCCATCTGCCAATCCTTCAAATTGATGACACTCCTCTCCTAAAAGCTCAAGTTCCACACCTTTGTAAAAAATACTTCTCTATTCCTAATCCGAATCTGTCTTGTGAAAAATGTCGGCAACGATATTTGTAAAACAAATAAAGTATTCCCACTACATATGACATATGTTCTAACAAGGGATTAGACCATTTTGATATGCATGTACATTGTATTATGTTTGGAGTGATTGGGAGCTTTATGCAGCAAATTTTGTATATGCTTGTATAGAAACAAAAAGTCTCTGAAAATATGGTGAAATGACAGGAGAAAATAAATATATTTCACTAAATCTAACATTTCTGTGTTTTTAATCCATATTTTGGCTTCTATGCATTACTGTTGAGAGACTACTTATCCAAAAAGGTTGAGACTACTCCAAACTGGCTATTATATTTTTACATTCCTTCTCCTATCACATGCCTGGACCACTACTTATTTAACAGATGCATTTATTTATTTATTTATTTCCTTCAGTGAATTGACTTTAACACCATTTTATGCAGTATTTACCAAGCATTTTTGGTTTTTGAGGTAAATACCACATAAAGGGATCGTGAATTGACATTTTCAGCATTGCATGTGAAATTCAGGAAAGAGTGTCAGATCACCCAAATACTGCATGCGATCTGCTTTAGTGAATGGGTTCCCCTTATCCCAACACTAGGTATGTGTACAGAAAAAAATATTATTCTTTTTCAAAGGTATAGCTTCAATTTGCTTTACTTTCTCCTGCTAATGCTAAGCCTTGCTACAGTGTTATAGCCCGAATGGACGTTCTAAATCCGCTAAATACATTCCAGGTGCACCAAAATATGCACAAGTTTGTTTTTTTTCCCGAGTAGAAGACCTGTTCTCTGCCAGCAGACCCAGTACAGAGGTCCAACACTCCTCCTGCTAAGTTAGTTCTCCAATTAGCAGAGATCCTGAGATTTGCTGCCTGTAGTTCTATTGGTCACTTCCACAAAGTCAAACAGAGCAATGAAAACGTTATTTTTTGTGCTGAAGTCCCCCTTTAAAGCTAATTATGCTGTGATAAAGTCTAAAAAAAGTCACAATTATTTTTGGAAAACCTTCCACTCCCTGCTACATCCCTCAGCAGTCTTCCTAGTGTGACACTTTTATTTGTGCACTCAAAGCTTATTTATTTCAGGTACTTATATAGTGCTGTCAATTTGCGCAGCGCTTTACACATATATATTGTACATTCACATCAGTCCCTAACCCTCAAGGGGTGTACAATCTAAGGTCCCTAACTTACATTCATACATACACATATTAGGGCCAATTTAGACAGGATCCAATTAACCTACCAGCATGTCTTTGGAGTGTGGAAGGAAACTGGAGTACCTGGAGGAAACTCACACAGGCACAGGGAGAATATGCAAACTCCAGGCAGGTGGTGCTGTGGTTGGGATTTGAACCAACAACCCTAGTACTGCCAGGCGGAAGTGCTAACCATTTAGCCACTGTGCTGCCCGTGATAGTATCTTGGTGATCATATTATCTCACAGTATCCATAAAACAGATGGTAGGTTCTGGGTTAGGCAAATAAATGCAAGGAGCAATTGTCTTCTAATTTATCCCTCTTCCATAGATTTGGTAAGGGACATATGAATTTTGTTTATTTTGAACTGAGCCCATTACCAATTCTGATTCTGTGTATCCTATCCTAATGGTTGTTCTAGTAAACAAGGAAGGTTTGTATACTTAAGGGTCAACTACCGGTAATTTGTTCCAGGCTCAGGGTACTGTCATCACAGCTCATGCCTCACACTTGACAAACAGACCTTCTGAGTGGTCCTGCACAGATTACACCCACTTTCCAGGTGGCTCACCCAGATCACACCCAGTTTCCAGGTGGTCCCACTGCATAAGCACAGTGAACAATGGGCAGCACAGTGGCTAAATGGTTAGCACTTCCGCCTGGCAGTACTAGGGTCGTTGGTTCGAATCCCAGCCACGGCACCTCCTGCCTGGAGTTTGCATGTTCTCCCTGTGCCTGCATGGGTTTCCTCAGGGTACTCCGGTTTCCTCCCACCTCCAAAGACATGCTAGTAGGTGAATTGGATCCTGTCTAAATTGTCGCTAGTATATGTATGTATGAATGTAAGGTAGTGACCTTAGATTGTACACCCCTTGAGGGTTAGGGACTGATATCAATGTATAATATATATGTAAAGCACTGCGTAAATTGACAGCGCTATATAAGTACCTGAAATAAACAATAAATACGCAGGAACTGTCGACTTCTATCTGCAGTCTCCTCAGTTAATACTCTTTGAGTTTGTGCATGCTCAGTAAACAAAACAAGGATGATGATGTGGTCTTGGGATTCAGGTGGGGACACACACCATCATCAGGATAGAATGCATAGATGTGGGACTGTCCTGATAAATTCAGAACAGTTGGCATCTATGGCTGGTCACCAGGACACATAAAGATTGCATGACATCTTTCCTTGAAAATGCTTGCTTATCACTTTAAAGGAGAAGTATGGCCAAAGCCATACTTGTTTCTCCTCTTTAATGTGCCATACCAATACAAACAAGAAATTATTATTATTATCATTATACAGTATTTATAAAAGCGCCAATAGTTTGCTCAGCGCTGTACATTACAAAGGGGGACAAAACATGTGACAGAATAACATCAGTACAATGCAAAACATGAGGGGATCGAGGGCTCTGCTCTTTCGAGCTTACAATCTAGGAGGGAGGGGATGGTGGCACAGGAGGAGATAGCTGTGGGGGATGGGGTGGTAGGAAGAGTGGAGGAGGTTGGCAAGTTAGCAGGGGGTGGGTAGGCTTCCCTGAAGAGATGGGTTTTCAGGGTGCGCCTAAAGGAGAGGAGAGTAGGTGATAATCTGATGGGTTGGGGCAGGGAGTTCCAGAGGATGGGTGACACCCTGGAGAAGTCCTGGAGGCGGGCATGGGAGGAGGAGACCAGGGAACTAGAGAGAAGGAGGTCTTGTGAGGAGCGGAGTGTGCGTGCTGGGTGGGTACTTGGATATTAGGTCAGTGATGTAGTTCGGGGCAGTATGGTGGACGGCTTTGTACGTCAGTGTTAGGATTTTGAATTTGATCCGTTGCGCAATCGGAAGCCAGTGGAGGGATTGGCAGAGGGGGGTGGCGGAAACGGAGCGGTTGGAAAGGTGAATGAGTCTGGCAGCCATATTCAGTATCGACTGAAGCGGGGATAGCCAGCGGCGAGGCAGGCCAGTAAGGAGGGAGTTGCAGTAATCGAGTCGTGATATGATGAGGGAGTGGATGAGCTGTTTAGTGGTTCCTGGGGTTAGGAACGTGTGTATTTTGGTGATGTTGCAGAGGTGGAGTCTGCACAAGCTTGTTAAAGATTGGACTTGGGGCTGGAAGGATAGGTTGGAGTCCAGAATGACACCAAGTACTCTGGCCTGCGGGGCGGGTTTGATGGTGGCGTTGTTGGATGTGATGGAGAAGTCAATGGGGGGTGGTGTGCGGGCTGGGGGGAAGACAAGAAACTCGGTTTTGGAGAGGTTTAGTTTAAGGAAGTGGAGCGACATCCAGTCTGATATGTCGCTCAGTAGGTGTGTGATTCGGGCGGAGACTGAGGTGGTGAGGTGGGGGGTTGAGAGATAGATTTGTGTGTTGTCGGCATATAGGTGGTAGTTGAAGCCGTGAGAGTGTATGAGTTGGCCAAGGGAGGAGGTGTAGATGGAGAAGAGAAGGGGCCCGAGGATGGAGCCTTGAGGGACCCCAATAGAGAGGGGGAGTGAGGGGGGGGGTGGTGGTAGCATTATAGGTAATGCTGAAAGAGCATTGTGACAGGTAGGATGAGAGCCAGGAGAGAGCAGAATCTCTAAGGCCAAGGGAGTGTAGTTTTTTGACGAGGAGGGGGTGGTCGACTGTGTTGAAGGCCGCAGAGAGGTCGAGGAGTAGGAGCACTGAATAGTGGCCATTAGCTTTGGCGGTTAGCAGGTCGTTGGAGAGTTTAAGTAAGGCAGTTTCGGTGGAGTGTAGGGGACGGAAGCCGGACTGTAGGGGATCGAGGAGGTTGTTGTCGTTGAGGTGAGAGCTTAGGCGGG